ATGGATTATATTTTTATTTTTAGTTAATGTACATATTAATTTGTAAATTAAATTAATTAATACTGACAAGTCCCATAAATTAATTTCAAAAAAGATTTATATAGTTCTAAGGACTTGCTACAAGTATTCATGCATTTAAATTTGTTTATTATTTATCCTCTTTATTTATATTTATATCTTAATTATTCGATATCCTTTTATTTCTAATTAATGTTCATATTAATTTCCAAATTAAATTAACTCATATTTATATTTTCAGTAACAACCCTCTCTATGATTTCTTAAACCATCAAGCACCCTTATTATACTTCACAATTATACTGACAAATGCGACAAATTAATTTGAAAAATCACCCTCTGACAATTCTAATAAATTAACCCTCTAAACAATCTTCACCTTAAACCTGAAAACCGCCCTCGATATTCATTACCACCATCAAGTATCCCCTATCGAACACCCTGTAAATCTTACGAAAAGAAACAACGCTATCTCTACCTCCGTTCAACCCCTATATCCACAAATCTCGAAGTCGTACCAAGGTGTTGCAGTCGCGCCATCGATAACAACCCCGGTTCAAGGGAAGCTAGCGTCAGTTGAGAGAACTATGACGGTTAGCTACATCTGACGCGTCGTCCACCCTTCGAGTGTACCCCTGCCGAGGGGTGGATCGGTGGCAGACGAGCTGGAAACTTTTTCCTTCAGCCTCGAGCCGTTTCCAGGCCAGGGGTTAATGTAATGGCCGTGTCGTCGATCGTTCTCGACGAACTTCTCGAGGAGTATCGATTAATTGTCGCTTCCCGGTGAGATCGGGGGTTGTTTCGTCGTGGACGTCGTTGAATAAAAATGGAGAAAGGATCGTCGTTTGACTCGCGGGAAATTGATTAACCTGACCCTCTGTAGAATTTTAATGACGAAAGGCCAAACCTACAAAAACACACTGAATCGAGAAAAGAGGGGGTTGCTTTCGGATCAACTTGATCAATTAAAACGATTAATTGGCACGAAAAAAAATTTTTTAAATTAAAAAAATATAATTTCAAATTCACGATTACCGATTCCTATATTTTTGTTAATAATAGTAATTATTTAATAGTAATTATTTTAAAATTTAGTACGATTCTGAAAATATAATTTCAAATTCACGATTACCGATTCCTATATTTTTGTTAATAATAGTAATTATTTAATAGTAATTATTTTAAAATTTAGTAGGATTCTGAGAACCGAGATTTGGGGGTTGAGGATTTTCAGAAATGACTGAAACGGGCAGGAAAAAAATTGTTTAAATTAAAAAAATATAATTTCAAACTCACGATTACCGATTCCCATATTTCTGTTAATAATAGTAATTATTATTTAATAGTAATAGTAATTATTAACAGAAATATAGGAATCGGTAATCGTGAGTTTGAAATTACATATTTTTAATTTAAAAAATTTTCTTCGTGCCCGTTTCAGTCATTTCTGAGAATCCTCAACCCCCAAATCTCGGTTCTCAGAATCCTCCTAAATTTTAAAATCCTAACACGAACAAATGTACCCTTGTAAACCAAAGAGGGTACAGATCGTGCATGATTTCGTGAAAATCGTTTATCGACGCTTGGGCAACATCCCCAGCGAGATTAATTCCGTTCCACAAATTTTTCTCTCTGCATGCCAAGAAACGGCTGACTGAGAAGCGACCCAGTTAAAGGATTAAGCAACGGCAAGCCTGTGAAACTCGATGCGCCCGTCGTGAACTTCGATATTAAATTGAAAAATAGAAAATGAAACGGGGTCCGGTTCTATACGTTTAAAACCCTGCATCGACGAGAATCCATTCAATGAGACGCTTTGTAAGCGTGCTGCATTCTCAAAGATCCCGCGTTCACTGCACGCGGATCAAAGAAGATTCAATCTCGTTTGCGGATGCAGAAAGGGTTGGTACGCTTTTCTTTTCTCTACCTTTCTGTTATTCGATCTCCTTTTTTCTTCTTTATCAAATATGCTTCTATATCGCGGGAACAGGGGCAAATAAACGAGCGGGGGATCAAATCTCGCGCGATCGAAACGGCCAATCTCGTAATTAGATTCCACGAGTTAACGACTTAATTAAGTCGGCACAAAGGGATCCCTCTGGAGGACGGTAGAAAGGAGAGTTCTCGAGGGGCGTGATTGTAAACAAGTATTTGATTTTAATGCAAAATCCACGATTATGGCGAAGCATCCGCCATTGGTTTGAAAGCCAGACGATGAAGAGAGAGAAAGAGAAAGAGAGAGAGGAAGACGAAGAGAAATAAAAGAAAGTATTCCTTGGTAAAGTATGAATGAAGCTCATGGTAACTTCAAGTTTACGGATTAAAATTTAAGGATTTTTGAAGTGCTATAGTTCGTTTTTGTATTGAGAAACTACTTCAAATTAAGAATATAATTTTTGAAAATAATTTTAGAGAGATATAAACTTGTTAAATATTTTAAATTACTGCACTTTCGTAAAAATAGCCCGAAATTATTATACAGATTTGCGAATGCAGGGGGTGGAATTAATTAAGCCAGACACCTATCAAGACTTCTTCTGCGAACAGATTCCAGATCGGAGACACGAGTACCTGATATCTGAATTAAAATGAAATCAAATTTAAATAATTAAACATTTACTTTCAATTTTAAAAATTAATAATTTATTGTAGCTTACGAAATCGTATATGCAGATGGGAATCTCACATTGTGGAACGAAATTTGTATATGATACTTGCGTTTGAAAGTAATAGTAGGAAATTAATTTTTATTAATAAATAAAAATTGTTTGTACGGTTAATTGGGTATATTAAATTTTCGATTTTTATTCGAATAACTTTCACGAATAATTTTCACATATTTCTGTAGAAACAGGCTGAAGTTACTATATGAAATATTCTAAATCAGATACCTGTGTTTGAAAAATTTCCATGAAATTAATTTTCATTGTTAAATACAATTTTTTTACATGATTAACTGGACTACACTGGACTTTAGCATTGGTAAAATTATGTAATTTTCAAGTCACATTGTTCAGCCGCAGAAAAAGACACGTGCTCTCATTTACTTGAATGATGATGAAACTGACATATGACTGCAGAGTTGCAACTCTGGCAAGTCGGGTGTGAAATTATACGAACATTTGCTAGAAAATTATGTTCACTTGTACTTCACGTTGAATTACGAAGTTGCAAACTCACGTCCAAAACATTTAGTCTCGCGAGGTCTGTAAAATTCCTGGCTGTACTACTTACGAACAACATAACTATTGAAGTTGAAGTTTAATTTCGCGGTGACAACATGAATTTTAACGCAAAAAGAATATCGTTGCGATAGGTTTAATTTAATCACGTTTAATAATCTCGCGACGTCCGTGCAATTTCTGACTGTTTCACTTAAAAA